AAGTAGCTCATCCAATATTTCTGAGACTTTAAAGAAAACAGGTCCCTACCTGCTTCCCAACGAACTTGGCAAAGCAACATCTATGGTCCTTCCTCTATATATACAACCTTTCAGTGGAATTTGAAGTAATTGCTATTTTTTTCTTTGCTATTTTACCCTAGCAATCAACATATTACAAGCTATAAAATCAACATATTACAAGCTATAAAAATATAGCTTTTATTATAAAGCTATAAAAATGGAAGGGCAAAAAACAGGATAACAATTTTCAAAATGTACATATGTTTAATAAGTTCACTACAAATTAAAAAATACATTCCAACTGACATGGCCAATTACTAAATAAAAATTATTCAAATACAGTGGTACTTTAAGATAAACTCATCCTTAAATATAAATTTCATTTTCAAAAATAATAGATTTAATATCGCTGATAATTCTCAAAGTGGTAGAGCCCCATCCAATAAGCATTCATAAAGTTGAAAGTGTGCTATAGGAAAAAATCAAGTATTTATACGGCTACTAAGACAGTTGGAATTACATTGAGTATTATTCCATCTTCAGTCAACAAACACTTTCTGTGCGTGTATAATTTACAAAGGACCCAGCTTGGTACTGTGGTTACAGAAATGCAATAAAATAAAAATAATAAAATCGTAAGTATTGGAGAGTCCATAAATGTAGTCTGGGTGCCACATTATTTTCACAGTTCTACATGATTTTTAACTTGAAGTCTCAATTCCAGAGTCATTTGGGGGAATATACCTCAAAATCTAAATTTAGTAATAAAATTACAAAGTTAAAATGTTACTGATCACTTTATACTTCCAGGGGAGCCCACATAGCATCCCTTCACACCTTTATAAAAATAAAATTTGAGTCCCCACTCCCAACACCCACACACAGTGTTACCAAGATCTGACCAACTGGCTTGTGCTATGCACAAGCTCTTCATTTTAGATGGAGCAGACCCAGAAGCCCACTCCTGACACAAAGTGGGTGTTTAAAGGTAGTGTAAGTTATGAACATTACTGACTACACTGGTGCTCATTCTTCATTTTTTGAGCAACGGAATTGTCTATTAAATGTTAGACATACACATGGGTAATGAGGCTAGTGGGTATAAAAAAAACAAATAAAAACAGACATGAGCCCTGCTTTGATTTTTGGAAAAGCTAGTTTTTTTAAAAAGATTTATTTATTTATTTATGCAGACAAGAACTGGGGTACAGACCAGAGATGTGGGGGTGAGATGATTACCAGAAACAGAGTGGGGAGCAGAACAGGCAGATCAACTGAAATCTACTGCTGAGGGGAGCAGCGGGTGGGTCAGGAGAGGTCTGCCACACCATGTGGGTCACTTCCACCCCCCACCAGGAGTTGAACTCATGCTGCCATGACTTTGAATTGCTTCATAGTGCTGTACTTTAACCTGCTGCACCATCAGAGAGGGCCCAGAAAAGCTAAAGTTTAAGCTAGTCATTTATTTAATGTGTTTAAAATTGCTATTCTCAGTCTTTAGTACACCATGGCACAGAGCAGCCAAGAAGATGGGCGTGGCATTCAGGTGGCAGGAAATTATTAAAACTTCTCACTCAAGTGATTCCATCTGTGTCCAGGATTGAGACCCAGTTAATATGGAATAAACTAGGGTATTCACAAAACCCAGAATTGCACAGGAGGTTTTGAGAAACAAGTCATGTCTAAGCTGAGATTTGAATAATGTCAATGGATGCTGAAAAGGGAAGCTGGACCAGAAACTGGGGGGCTGGTAACCTAAGTTTCATAATTACTGTGAAAATGCTTCCAGTGAGGGCTGTGGGGGTTCACGCTCACCCAGGGGGACCTGGTGTGTGAATCTCTGTCCCTGTTGAGAAGACTCTTAGATGGTCAGAGATGCGACAAGTCACTGGCTCACAGCTCTAGGATCTTTTCCTCAACTCATAAATAATTTTTTCATTAAAAAAAATGTGTTACAAATTGCACTGAGGTTGCCTTGGTCCCTGGGGATCTGGAAGCAAATTGGAAAATACCGTCTCTGTGGTGAGGGCTATATTTTTTTGTTTGTTTGTTTATTACAAAAGTTTATTTTTACATAATTTTGTACATTTTTTTTTCCATCTCAATTGTAATCCCTGCGGGTTTCCCATCACCAAGTCACCCATGTGGGTGAGGGCTATTTTAAAGGTTTGGATGCTTGTGCAATACACAAAAAGAACATATCCAATCAGACCCTGGGAGCATTTTGGGATGGGATTTAGGACATGTTTTAGTGTGATTGTTAGAACGATGAAAAAGAGATACCTCTGAGGATAGAAAGGAAGATACTTCCTGAACAGGGTTAGGCCTGTGAGAACAGCAATGTAGTCCTTGGCCAGAGGGGTGTGTTCTACCAGCAGGGACAGATGAACTGCTGTTTCTCAGCACCCGGTACATGCCCTAGTGCCCTGCCTGCCCACACATGCAGGAGAGGCACGCCAATAAACCTGTGGGGTACCTAGCAGAGTGCCTGCCACTGGTGTTATTTTGATCAGTTATGACCTGAGCCTGGCTATTTGTTTTTGCAAACTAGGTATGTAGGGGTTAAATTTTGCAACCACATAAGGCAATAAATCTAACAACTATAGTCATAGTCAGTCGCATGAGAAGTTTCTCGTGTTCTCAGCCATCTCTTATGAAATGGGAGGAAACTTTTACAATCATGCAAACATCACAAAAGAGGGGGGTCAACAACTTGAGGTGTCCCTTATTATCCACCAGCATCATGTCCTCTGTGGATCACTTGCCATTGTAAACTCTGAATCTTTGGCAGTAACTGTAACCCCTGCAGGAGCTCAGAGCCCAGATATTCATATTCAACATTCCATTAACCATGACAGTGTCATGAGTCTGTTTGGAGAGGTCTATCTTCATGGATTAGGGTAGAGTGGAAGGCAGGCCGTGGCTGCCAGGAGATGGTAGTGAAGAACTAGCTGAAGTTGAGTGGTCATGATAATCTGTGTATTTTGAATTTTATCAGAAAGCCAAAGGAAAGCACTAAACAGTTATGTGCAGAACCATGATCAATTTGATTTTTTCCAAATAACACATTTTACTAGTTATACTGGCCCTGAACTAGAAATAATCCACATGTCATTAAAAATAACATGAATAAATAAAGCATAACATATTCATATAATAGATTTATCTCAAGCAAAAGGAATGAAAAACTGGTCTAGCTATAATATAGATGAACATCAAAACCATTTTGTTAAGTACAAGTATGTATCAGTATATACTTATATAAATTAAAAAACAGGCAGAACATATTGTGTTGTTGTAAATCCAGAAAGTGTTCTCTTTAGACACAAGCACATTTGTGCTCACAAATTCCACTGTAAAAAATTCATAAGCTGATGGGAAGCCCAAGGGGATTGCAACTGAGATGGAAAAATGCACAAAATGATGTAAAAATAAACTATTATATATTTAAAAAATTCGTAACTGTGAAAATCAAGTTCTGTGCCTACTGCTGGGTCAGCCCTGGGTCGGGTCTTCACCGCCACCCACCTGGCCACCATTTCCAGCCTCTTGTTTCCAAGAACTCATTGATTGATTTGACCTAAAATAGAATGTCACTTCCCAAAAGGGAAAGATTGCCCCATGTTTCACTTGCTTTAATTAAGTCAGGATCATGTTCACTGTTCTTCTAGTCAACAATGAATACTCATCCAGAAAAGCACTTTTCATAGAAAAATCAAAGATACTTCACTTTGAGTGTCTGTTCTGCAAGGACCACGAGATGGAGCAGGTTCATTTTATGTACACAGAGTGAGGGGATCAAAGTCCTCTGCTGCTGACAAAAAGCTTTCCACAAAGCAAACCTTTACACAGCTTTGTTTATCAACTGCTGGGGAAGTAGCTCATCCAATATTTCTGAGACTTTAAAGAAAACAGGTCCCTACCTGCTTCCCAACGAACTTGGCAAAGCAACATCTATGGTCCTTCCTCGGGGGGCGACGCGAAGCCAGTGAGGAGAGGGGGGCGCAGCCCCGCACACGCTGACACAGTGAAAGGAAAATATTGTCTCCCTGAACTTTTCTAAATAAAATCGTTTTTCCTCCTCTTGGACATCCCCCGTTTGGTCTTCATGGCCTTTCATAGCCTCCTGGAGGACGTCGGAAGCCTGGGGAGATTCCAGATCCTTCAGATGGTTTTCCTTTGTATCTCCAGCCTCCTCGCGTACCCCCACATTCTCCTGGAAAACTTCACCGCCGCCGTCCCCGCCCACCGCTGCTGGGTCCCGCTCCTGGACAACGACACCGCGTCCTCCAATGGCACCGGGACCCTCAGCCAGGACGCCCTCCTCAGGGTCTCCATCCCCCTGGACTCCAGCCTGAGGCCCGACAAGTGCCGCCGCTTTGTCCACCCACAGTGGCAGCTGCTGCAGCTGAATTGGACCTTCCCCGACGGTGGCGCGGCGGCCACAGAGCCGTGCCTGGACGGCTGGGTGTACGACCGCAGCGCCTTCCCGTCCACCATCGTGACCGAGGTGAGCGGCCCCGCTGACCTCCTGTGCACAGCGGTCAGGGTGCGGATTTAGAGACGACGTGGGGGTGAGCGGGCTTCCGGCCAGCAGTCCCTATACTCCTTGCTCCTATCAGCGAATAGGAATTGCTTCTCTGGAGAATACCAGACACCTACATATTTAATAAGTTGAACTAAAAAATAAATAGCGGCAACCTTGCTACTGTATGGCTTTTATTTGTAGGAGGACCAAAGTTCAGCAAGCAATTGATTGAGCGGGTTCAAAATGGGTTGCAAAGCCAGCAAGGTCCGAGTCGGCGTGCAGCAGAGAGGGGACTAGTGGTCAAAGCTGCTGAGCGCAGGCTGTCGCAGGGAGGCCAATTGTGAAGAGGAGCACATTTAAAAATATATATATTTATTTATGCATACAGAACTAGGGTACAGGCTAGAGGTGCAGGGGTGGTGAAAGGACTCACCAGAGACAGTGGGGAACAGTACAGCGACTGACGAAGTCCACTGCTGAGGGGGGCAGCCAGTGGCCAGGAAAGTTCTGCCGCACCATGGGGGTCACCTCCAGGACAGGGATCGGACTCCTGCTGAAGTGGCTTTATCTTCTTAGTGCTGTGCTTTAACCAGTTGGCGCCACCGGGGAGGGCCCGAGGAGCACATTTTTAAAGTTCCTGGAGCCCGGTGGCCAACGTGGAAACCACTCCTATGGAGTAGAACAGGGCATTGATTTAACTGAGGGTTGAAAGGAGGCTTTCCAGGGAAAACCACCTTGAAGCTGAGGTTGAAAAGAGAAATAAAGTCTCTTCATCATTTTGGTTCCCTGTGGAGGCCTGCTGGAAACAGGACTTCTAAACTAAGGCTGGAAGGCTATGGCCCAAGGCATTTTTTGCTGGCTACAAGCAGGGTCTCTGGAACCAGAGGGAGCATACAGCTCTTCTTAAAATCGAAGGTGTTTATGCTCGAAATGAAACGGAATTCTATCTAGGCAAGAGACGTGCTTATGTGTCCAAAGCAAAGAACAGCAGAGTGACTCCTGGTGGCAAACCGAATAAAAATAGAGTAATCTGGGGGAAGTAACACATTCCCATGGAAACAGTGGCATGGCTCGGCAAATTTCGGAAGCCTACTTCCAGCTAAGGCCATGGGACTCAGAATCCGTGTGATGCTATACCCCTCAAGGAGTTTCTCTTACTGACAAGTCAATAAAAGAGGATTTGTTCTTGTATTTTGTTAAAAATAAATAGAGAGAGAAAGAGAGACCAGCCCATAACAGCCAATGCCCAGCTCAAAGCCTGGTATAAAGACACGTTGAGGCCGACTGAGTTGGTCTTCGGCGGTGAGGTGGCCATGGGGCTTCCTTTGCTAGCTTCCTTCTCTTCCAGTGGGACCTGATTTGTGAATCTCAGTCACTGAAATCCATGGTCAAATTCCTGTTCATGGCTGGAATGCTGGTGGGAGGCCTCGTCTTCGGCCACCTTTCAGACAGGTGAGTGCTCTGGGTCCCTGTTCTTTCCCCCTAGACATTTTCAGGAACTCAGCAATCACTTTTCTGTTAAGAAGCTTTTATTGCAAATGAGACTTCCTGGTTCTGCCTTGTCCCAAGACTCTGAAAACACAGATGGAGAAGGACAAGTTGGTGAGAGACACTCAGCTCTGAGGGTTGGGTCTAGGTCCCCGATAATACCCTCTGCCTTGGGGGCACTTTAAGGCCAAGTTGAAAGAGGAAGTGTCACACTATTTGGATTAGAAAGACAAAAGTTATATGGGAACCAAGAAGATGTCTCGGGGTTCGGGATTCAATCTTCTTAAGGTACAATAACTAAAATAGTATTGTAGATCTTAACTGATGGGTGGTGCTGGGAAGGGGGTGTGCTTGACCCCACAAGCTGGATGCTTGTGGCTTGCCAGAGCCTGGTCCTCATGTCCTTGTTGCCCAAGGGTGATATGTAGACCTGGGGTGTCCGAGCAATGTATCTCGCTGTTAGGTAGAAAAATTATTCCAGTATCCTTGATATTTGCTTATGGGTATGGAAAAACTTTTTAAAAGTTACTTTAACCACGTAAGGTGACGCGTGCAGTTATAGCCACTACCACTTGTGGGGGGGTGGTACTGATCACGGGGAATGTCCAGTGCCTTGCAGTACCCCTTTGTGAATTAGATGGTCAGTTGCTGCTACCCAGACAAGGCTCTTCTGAGGACTATGGGCAATGTGCCCTCTTCCCAGGTATCTCAGCAAGATACTATCTGTGATCTCAGGTGAAAAGTGTCAACTATTAGTGTGCATCAGTAAATGTAACTGTGACAGAGCTCAGAGCTGGTGTCAGCAATCCTGTTCAGTAACACAGCCCTCTGTCATTGTGTCATGTGAAAACTCAGATTGATAGTAGAAAACTCAGACTATTGGGTAATAAAGTGGCAGAAATGGGGGACAGAGGAGTCTCGCAGGAGATGGCAAGGAGAACGAAATGGATCTGGGGATCAAGATAATCTAAGGACTCTGAACTTTGTCAAAAAGCTAAAAGTAAGTACTACGGTACTTTACACAGATGGGATATGAGCAAGTTGATACTTTTGAAATACCATCCTCAGCTTTTAATGTTTTGCCCAAAGCTAGACATAATTTAAATTTAATTAATATTAAAGTGACTATAACATATATCTGAGGAGGTGTCAGCCTATTTCATTAAGTCATATGCAGTGTTATATACCAATGTTACCTCACTAAAGGAGAAACAATATTGATGTATGTTAGCATGAATAAATAAGAGAACTGTTATGAACATAAATCAAAACCTATGGCAATCACAATAAAAACAACAAAATGTTTACACATTATGCCTTTCTGCAAAGGTAAAGATCAAAAATTGTCGACCTATTGCATGGTATTTGAAACAGATGATCCTCCTGGGGGTTTGCATTGCATTGTATTGAATCTGTGGAGTAAGTTGTTAGTTTAAAAAAATTTTTTTGTTTCCCCATGAAATACACAAAATTTTTAGGTTAGTGACCTAATATTTTAGGTTGTCATTTCTAAAACACAGCCATGTTTCACATATTGAATTTTCTGACCTATAGATATGATAGAGATGTCCTTGACTTAGATTTTCTTTAATTTTTCCTTTGCAGCATTTTCTTTCTTCTTCTTCTTCTTTTTAGAACATAAGAAAGTCTACATAATCTTCACTTGCACAAAATGGGTCCTTCTCATGGAAGTTTTTTTTTTTTTAATTTCCATCTTATTTATTTATTTTTCACATCGTTCTTCATTTTGTGCATTTTTCCATTTCAGTTGTAATCCCCACTGACCTCCCATCACTAATTCACCTGTGTGCCATCACCACAGTCCAGGGTACTCTTCCCACCCCAGTTCCGATCCCATTCCTCCTCTCACCCCCATAAAATGTCTCTGGTTTATAGCTGTTCATTGTTTTCATTTTTATTCTATTACACTTGTTAGTATCTCTCTCTCTCTTTTTTTTTCCTTCCCTGATCCCAATGCTATGAGTGAAACCACCTGGTATTTTTTCCTTTTCTTTCTGGGTTATTTCACTAAGCATGATTCCTTCCAGGTCCATCCACATTGCTCCTTTGCAGCATTTTCTAGCTGGTGAGAAAAGTCATGCTTTCTCCCATTAAATTCATTACTAGTTAGCTTAGTGTTTGAGGTTATGAATCTGTTTATTGCAACTTTAACATCTAATTACACATTGTTATTTGGGAGATGCCCTTATATGGGTCAAGATTTCCCAGTATTTCTAGTTTTCTAAGTGTTTTTGTTAATGGGCAGAGTGAGGGGCACCCTGGGACCGCCAACCTGCCTGTTCTAAATGGGTTCTGCCATCTGCTGCATTAAGACAAAACATTCTCTTAGTGCCTAAGACCTTCAAAAGAGAAGAGTTTTAATACAATTAGTGTGCAAAAGAGAGAAAAGAGGAAGAATACAGTTCAACTAGTTTCCCAGTAAAACACCCAAAGTGAACCCATCACCTCATGGATAAATGCCCAGTCAAACAGGGTTGGCCCAAAGCAGGCCCACTGAGGCCCAAAAGCCTGCCACACATCTAAGACAACTCTTGGCTGGGATGGGGGTGGGGGGATCCCATAGACAAGGGGCAAAAGGAGCCAGGCCAATCTGGGAGGAAAAAAGCAAAAGCAAAATACAAGCAGCCATTGTGAGCCTCCCCCATGTCTCTCTCACCCACGTCTCCTCTAAGCATCTCCTTCTGTGTCATTCACGTCTCTGGTGCAAGCCCAAAACCATGACGTAAATACAGCTTCTTCACATGTCTCTCTACTCCAGGTGCTTCTTCCAGATCTTCTCCTCATCTCTCCTTGTTTTCATTTTCTTCCTTTCTTTTTTATTCCCCTCCTCCCAGTCTGTTCTAGCTTCTCCTTGCTGCTCAGCTCCACCCTTTTTGGGGGGAGCTGGGAACCTGGACTCTCCTCTTTCTACAGAGATCTGGTACATTTTTATTATGAAAGGATTGTGACAGACAGTTAACACTCAAAAGACTATCTAAGGCCCAGAGGAGATGCCTCATGGTAGACTTTGGGGATTGAAGTAATTCAAAGTAGTCAAGTAGATGAAGGAATTTAGACAGCCTGTGTAAAACAGTACATGCAAGCGGTCTCAGAAGACCAGACTTACCTCCTTTTGACCACAGCCCCAGACAAGCCCATCTCAGTCTTCAAGGAGAGACTCAAATAGAACCATCTACACAAACTAGAACACTAGTCCCTGTCAAAGAAATGTCTCTCAAAGATGAACACAGTAAAAAGAACACAAGAAGCTTGTAAGTTACATTTGACAAGGGATGGTTTGGGCAAAAACTGGAGAAGTCGCAGAACAGATTATACAGCCATCAATAATTTTTTTAAAATGCAATTCATTAAAAAGCCTGATGTCCAGAATTGACATTACATTGTCAGTTTATAATATTACAATTTGTAATGATAATAGTTAAATGCCAAATTTTCAGGCAATAAAAAAAAAAACCTAAGGCCCACAAACAGGAAAATGTAACTCATTCAATGTAAAAAGCAGACATGAACTCCCCGTGGAAGCCCAGAAACCTGACTTTTTAACAGACTTAGTATAATTTTCAATCAGCACTTCTATCAGAAACATGGACAAGCTAGTGAACTAAGTTAAGACAGTTGAAGTTCTGTGGCCTAAGGGAGGCAAGAACAAGCACATGCACACCAATGGGGATGGCTAAAACCCACAGATACCATCAATGCCGCACGAAAGTGGGGTGCGCGGCAAGCGAAAACCTCATTCCACCTGCAAGGAATGAGGTGGGATGAGGTTTATTCAAAATAAACCACCTTAGAGTCCATTTTTTCAGCTTCTTACAAAGCTAGGCAAAATCTCACCCATCGAGAACCCTGAGCAATAAACAATATACATGCAATGTTCCTTTGGCTGTTGGCCCAAAGGGGGTAAGACCTGCGTCCACACACACCTGCACTGGGAGGGCATCTTTAAGCAGCTTGACTCACGGTGGCCCCCATGTGAAAGCAGCCAAGTTCTCCTTCAGTAGCTCAACTGTAGCTAGCCAGACCATGGAATATAATTCAGTGCTAAAAGAAGAAGCTGTCAAAAGACGTGAAGGGGGGCCACCCTGGGGGAGCTAGGGGTAAGTCTCAGCACTATCAAGCTATTGCTTGACCCACAGGGCACAGCAGACCCTTCCTGTCTCGCCTCCTGCTTCCCTCAGCAGTGGATTTCACTGTGCTACTCCTCACTTTGTCTGGTGAATCCTCTCATCTCCCACCCTGTACCTCTGACTTAATATCCCAGCTCTTGTATGCATAAATAAATAAAACAAACCTTTAAACAAAAAAAGACATGAAGAAAACTTAGAGGCATATCACTGAGTGAAAGAAATCAATCTGAAGGGCTACACACTGTAAGACACCAACTGTACAGATATTCTGGAAAAGTCAAAGCTGTATGGAGAGAGTAAAGCATCATTGGGAGAAAGAAATGAATAGGCATAAGAGACATCGAGGGCTCTAAGGCTCCACTGGTTACTGCCTGGTGGGTGCATGTCATTTTTCACCCATAGAATGAATAATGTACCCTAATGTGAAACGGACTCTGGGGGTCATGACATGTTGATCATCCCTCATCAGTTGTAACAATGGATCAACTGGCTACAGGTATGGACACTGAGTAGCCTGTACATGGGGGGACAGGGAGGGACATGGGAGATCTCAGCACCTTTTGCTCGATGTTGCCGTCACCCTAAAACTCCTCTTAGAAAGTCTATTTTAAAAAAGGAATCACAAAAGTTAGCTTAAAAGAAGAAAGAAAAGTGACATGTCACAGAGGTGGCATGTAGCTTACAAAGCCTCAGGTAAAAATTATCTGGCCTTTGTGGGAATATGTACCAACTTCTCATGTTACAGGCCCCAAGACTGTGTGTTGATTTTCTTTAATCATCATTTATCCCAATTCTTCATCTTCTATAATTTTAGTTGACATGTCCTGAAATGCACATTTCTCTCGTGTGTCCACATAGTTCTCCAGCCCAATGAAGTTTCACATCAGAAACTTGTACTTTTTCAATTCTAGAAATTCAGTTATTTGGGGGTTTTGTTATGCTTTCTCGACTGAGAGAGTCTATTATTGTTCTAATTAGCTGTGATTTTCACCTATGGATCATATTTTGTTTACATTTTTGAGGGTCATTCTATTACACTTAAAATCATTATTACTTCCCAAATTTGTCTCCTCTCAGACAAATTGAATATTTTCCATTCTCTTGGAAATGATTTTTGCTTCTTGTTTCTTTAGATATCAGGATATCTTGCATTATATCTTGAATATATCAATAGTTAAGAGTGAACATTCTATTTAATTATTACTCACCAATCCTATGGATTCTTTCCATTAGCAAGTCCTTTTCATACCAGAGGTTGGAACAGCAGCAGTTTTGGTAACAGCTCTGACCTCAGTTCCAATTTTTGTTCTTAGTTGACCTGTCTTCAGCTGCTTCTGCCATGTTCTGTTTCATCAGCCACAGGGGACAAGTGGCAGGTGCAGGTGTCCTGTCTTTGAGCTTCCCATGACTAATTGTCACTCATGCCAGTGTTCCCAAGCTCCCACCTTTTGTGACCTTGTTCTCTAAACCAACAGAATGACAGGCACTCCCATATGCACCCCAGCCATTACTTACTGTGTAACTGCCCCTTCCTCTAGGCTGATTAGCTGGGCATTTGGTATCTGCCATCCCCTGCTCCCCACTGGCCCTCCCAGCACAGCCTGCCTGCTCAACTTTCTCTCTGCTATGTGCAGGTAGTTGCTTTTGAGTTATGTACAGGGTTTTTTTTTTTTTTAAGATTTATTTTTATGCATAAAAGAACTAGGGTATAGGCCAGAGGTATGGGGGAGGGGTGTGAGAGGAGTCACCAGACACAGAGTGAGAAGCAGAACAGGCAGATCTACTAAAATCCACTGCTGAGGGAGGCAGGAGAGGTCTGCTGTGCCAATGTGGATCACTTCCCTGGCCAGAGATCCAACTCGAGCAACAGTGACTGCAGAGAGCTTCATAATGTTGCACTTTAACCCGTTTCACCATCAGAGAGGGAGGGCCTAGGGGTTATATTTCTTTTCTAAAGATGTGGAAGGTTAGTGGTAGTGTTTAAGTCCTTTATTTCTGGAATCAAAATACATCCACCAGAGGCTTTTAAAATAGACATTATGCTATAAAATGGAGCATATTCCTTCTTGAATGTCCTTTGATAATTAACTGGGAGAACCACTTGAGAAGGATGGAAGTCATCCTTAGGAAAGATGGTGAGAGTTGAAGGGTCCATAGAAATGTAAGAAGTAACCAATTGGGACATAATTTGTAGGTGCACACAAAAGGCCTTCCTGGTAGTTTCAGAATTATTAGGAGGCTCTGGCTTGGCAAACAGAGGATCAAGGGTGATCTCTGCATCTTCATCTGAGCAAATGGATAAGTGATGACTTTAATGAGATGAAGAAACAGAGGGAAGAACACATTGAAGAGAAAGTCAAGACTGATGTTGGGACATAATAGCTTGGCAGTGCTTATTAGTCAGACAGCAGGAAATAGTGAGCAGTGGGTAAAGTGTCAGAAGTTTTGACCTGTTTGAAAACAGTGACCTCAAGTATGACCCCTAGGATGACATTCAGCTCACAAATTCTCAAGCAGCCATCTTCCCACCCTCCTGCTAAAGGATGGAGACACGGCCCGCACGCAGAGCACATGACCGCATCCATGCCTAAGCCATTGTTACTGGTCAATGCCCTGATGTACGTGTTGCTAAATACCTTGAATGTCCCATCGTGACCATTTCTCAGGTTCGGGAGGAGACTGACCCTCAGGTGGTGCTTCCTCCAGCTCGCCGTCGCCGATACCTGTGCAGCCTTCGCGCCCACCTTCCTCATTTACTGTTCACTGCGCTTCTTGGCCGGGTTTTCTACCATGAACATCCTGACCAACTGTTCTGTGCTTAGTAAGTAAAAACTTCAGGTCGTTGACATTTTCCAAGCCTTGACCTCAACTCTGAAATCCTAACTTTGTTTGAAGTCAATACCTGGTCTGTGTTCTCTTCCAGTCGTGGAGTGGACGGTGCCCCAGTTCCAGGCCATGGGGATGACAATGACCATCTGTGCTGCTTGTCTTGGACAGATGCTCCTGGGCGGCCTGGCTTTTGCCATTCGAGACTGGCACACCCTTCAGTTGGTGTATTCTGTGCCATTGTTCGCCATCTTTCTTTTCTCAAGGTATAAGCTCTTTCCTTTGTCATAGAGGACCCTGGCAGGCAAGACACAGAATCAGGACCCAGGAATTCTGTGTGGTGCTGAGTCAGCACTTGAGCGCATGCCCCACTCATCTGTACCCTACTTTCAACTCAAGACGCAGAGCATGGTTGTCAGGTAATTCCAAGGACGTTCAGTTAAATTTGAATTTCCAATAAGCAACAGATATTTTTGGTATAGTATCCCAAATCTGCACAGAGCATAAATGTACCAGAAATTATTTGTTGTATATGTAAAATATCTATTGACCTGAGAGTTCTGGATTTTTATTTACTAGCTGATTAGAATACAGGGTGTTTCATTGAAGTGAAATTTCAAACAAACACTTTTTGGTAGAAGGATTTCCAAAATAGTGCATCATAGTTATACTCAATCACTGCTTATCTGTATTGAAATTTATTTTTATTTGCTAAAATGGGTCAGATTCCCCCAAACAAGAGGAGCCAAAGAGCTCCCTACTCTATACTTCCAGGGAGCTTGCGCACTTCCCAGCTAGGTACAGGGGTCTTAAGCTCCTATCTCCTAGTGTCACCCACAGCAGGGAGGCTCCAGGTGGGAGTGAAGAGGGCTTTCAGCACACAGGCCTGTGACCAGCAAGCCTGCAAGAGTGGACCACCCTCTGTCTTCTCCGAGCAGGTGGCTGGCCGAGTCCGCTCGGTGGCTGATCATCACCAACAGACTCGAGGAGGGCCTGCAAGAGCTCAGAAAGGCTGCACGCAGGAATGGAATAAAGGAAGCAAGTGGCACCCTGACCATGGAGGTGAACTGTTGAAGGAGCTGCCTGGGGTCTGGGACGGGGCTGACCTATATGCTACTTGGAGTCTGTGAAGAACTCAGATCTCAGGGCTGGGGCTGGGTTTTCTTAACTCATCATCCTAGTTCTCAGTAGTTGTCACTGAGAAGACCGGACACATTTTTTTAAAGATGTGTTTTATTTATTATCCTGGCGTAAATGTCAGAGGTGGGAAGGGAGTATCGGAGGGGAAGAGGATTCACCAGAGACAGAATGGGGAGCAGAACAGACAGATGTACTGAGATACACACTGCTGAGGGGAGCTCCTTGTGGGTCCGCTCCCTGGCCAGGGATGGAACTCAGGCCATGGCTAGCTATGGCTTGATAGTGCTGATACTTTAACCCTGCGCACCAGGAGGCCCCTCTGTGATTCATTTTTCCTGCCCGTTACACTTGCTGTGGCATCCTCAGTGCCTCTGCTTTCCATTGCAGATAGCAGCTGGGTGTCTCCCCGGCCCTCTGTGGGGCCCCATGCCTGCCATTTCGTGGCAGCTGACCCTTTCTTGTTGTTATTGAAGGTCTTGAGATCCGCCATGCAGGAGGAGCTAGAAGCTGGGCAGAAACAGCTGTCTGTGTTTGACCTGTTCAGAACACCCAACCTCCGGAAAAGGGTCTGTTTCCTGTCTTTTGTGAGGTAGGTGTCACACTGGGCATGGTAGAGATACAAATCCTCTCAGGCTGGAGATCAAAGGGAGGGACCTATCGAGATGAGGGCTGTGTGTAGAGATGGCCAGCAAGCTAAAAACAAAACAAAAAAATAAGACCAACAAAATGCTGGCCCAGAACTAATAACCCGATGAGGTTTTTCTCTCCATCACCATAACAGGCTGTTCCATAAACAAAGACCGAGAGCTTCAGTCATGTACTATGTTCGCTTTCAGTTCCTTCACTGTTTATTTCATCACATTATTTCATTTTCTTTGAAGGAAAGTTCCAGAGTGTAAAGCACACCTGTAGCTAATCCAGTTCTATGTTTAAATAGGCAACACCTTCAAGATCAAGAGAGAAAACAACCCACCCCCTTTCAGAAGTTCCATTATGGTTCCCACTCACACTCCCCACAAAATCTAACAATTATGAGCTCCCTCCTCACACAAAGTTTTATAACAGTTTAAAAATCATCACCACAAAGAAATGGCCAGTGCAAACTCTGTGTTGCACCTGACCAGTGTCCCCACTGCCCGGCCAGTCTCACCACCATCCCCTCGGGGACACAGGTGACACCGAGTCCCTTTCTTCTCCCGGTCACCACAGATTTGCCTTCTACATACCCTTCTATGGCCTGGCTCTCCACCTCCAGCACATGGGGAGCAACGTGTTCCTGTTCCAGGTGCTTTTTGGGGTTGTCAACCTCCCCTCCAATTACGTGGCCCTGCTGGTGCTGAATCACCTGGGACGACGCCTGAGCCAGATCCTCCTCACATCCCTCCTGGGACTCGCCCTGCTGACCACCACATTTCTGCCTGAAGGTGAGAAAAGGCCAAAAGTCAGGAAATGGAGTAGCTTCCCCCACTCCCCAGGGCTGCACTCACGCTTTTCTGAGACCAGGAGAGCGAATTCGGTCATCGTGATTCCCCAAAACCAATCTGGGGATATGGGCAGGAAGCTGGTTCTGCCACTAAGTGAGGAGTGAGGTGAGCTGAGATATGCACCTGCTGGTCGGAGCTGAGCAGCCAGGGCCACTTCATCCTGACGGCCTCTCTAGGGCAGCTATAGGCCACTTGCCCTTTGGCCCATCATATTTGGAGTGGAACATGACAGAACGTGTCATTCTGAGTCATTTTAACTCACCTGAGTACACAATACTGCCACTGCCTCTGACTGGGCTCCTCTGACTGCAGCAATTTCAGGGACAAGCTATTCCCTGATGACCCACGTGTGTCATTTTAGGTTACCATAGCAGCATTCCTGGCTAGGGGGAAATCGGCATCAATATTCTTGACATCAAGAATATAAAACCTCAGGTTTTCGGGCAGAGAAGTGCATCCTAGGAACAAGGCACTGTGCCGTTGGAGACTCTCTCTGAGCTCATTTTACTGAATTGCATGACTGGATGTAAATGTCAGGGTGATAGAATAACTGATGACTGAACGACCCAGGTGCTCACCTTGCTTCACCTGCCTCCCAGGTAGGGTCCCATCATGAATGTCAACAACGTTGCTCTCACAACCAAGCCCCTCCGGTATGGAAAACACTCTGCAGGGACTTATTTTCAAAGTCTAGAAAGCTGACTTGCAGAACTTCCTTTCAGAAGTTTCCAAAATCTACTTTCCTCTAATACAGGTCTTTATTTTAGAGTCTACAAATAATATTCCAGATCAGGCTACTCCCCCAGTTGATCCATTTACATGCACCTCTTTTTCATGGCTCTTGACTACAGTATTGCCCACATGTCAGTGCTGTGTACACACTTGGGTTTAAACTCTCCAAGACACAGTGAATCTCACCTGTCCCAGCAGGTGTTCACAGGGAAGTCACTTTTTCTACATAAAGGGCAGAGGAGACGCTGAGTAGGAATCCTTTCTAAGAGCTCTTGCTCAATTGCCCATCTGTGGTGAACCTGGTGTGTGGAGGATGGATACTCTAGCGCTTGCATTTCTATTCTGCGTTTGAGGTGGGCTGGGAGACATACTCCCAGCTCTTAGCTACTGCCCCTTCTCTGCCTCTGTCCACTTCCCTCCAGTAGACTGAACAGGTACAGAACCCCCCGTAGGGTCATCCGCCCTAATGGGTGCTCATTTCTTCACCTCTGACTTCCTGATTCCACCTCCCTCTCCAGAAATGCAGATCCTGCGTGTGGCATTGTCGACCCTGGGGGTTGGTGTGTCTTCCGCGACTGTCATCTGCACTTTTGCCCACGGACATGAGCTGATTCCCACTGTGATCAGGTACACATCGCCCAAAACTCAGCATCAAAACAGACCTTTCCCAGCTACTTACCCCAACAGGTAGAAAACTAAAATGGGTCAGTTATTACAAGTGATATTAATTATAACATCGATGATAATGGTGTTATTAATGGCAAAAATCAGGCAAATGATAGCTCCCATCTCAGTCCCGCTCCCTTGCAGGGTATTTCAATAAATCCACCTTTCATGTTGTCCAAAAAGGAAAAATTATAGCCAAGGTTTACTGAAAGCTGACTTTTTTCTGCTAGTCCATCAAGCCCTTTAAGCTGTCAGAGCACATAATACTCTGCACCACTATAGAGCCAGTGCTGGGGGTAAAGGTATTTTTTTTTTAGTAGTTAATATATGACTTAATGTACTTGTGTGCTTGAAAAAAGTTGCAAGCACATGAAATAATAACGAGTCCATTGTCAACCTGTGTTACCTGAGCACTACTGTGGTGTCTCCTGTAATCAATGCATCACACTAAATCATGAGTCACTGTGTGGATTTATGCCTAATATTTTGGCATTGCTGTTTGCTTTTCAAGGACCACAGCTTCAGGCTTCATGGGACTTGCGGGTAGTGTTGGGGGGGCCTTGGCCCCCCTGGTGATGATCCTGGCAGTGTACTCCCCCCACGTGCCCTGGATCATCTACGGCGCCCTCCCGCTCCTCACTATCCCCATTGTCCTGCTCCTTCCTGAGACCAAGAACCAGCCCCTGCCTGACTCCATCCAGGATGTGGAGAACCAGTGAGTCCCCCTCCTACCCTACCCTCTAAACCCCCCTTCCCCGGCCCCCTGCTGAGGTACCTTCCTTGGGACTGTTACTGACCTGGGGTGAGGAAGGAGGAATTTGTCACCTCGACACTGTCCCCCCAACCCCAAGCCTGGTCCGAGGTGCTTCCCTGGTCAGTGCCTCAGCTTGTGCAAACTCCTCTCAGCCGCAGTAACATCACAGCCCCATCCCCCCAGATCCTCAGGCGTGCTCTGCCCAAACCTGGCAACTTGATGGCCAGGAGCCAAGCCACCTGGTGCCTGCTGTGGCAGACACCCCCAGGGAGTTACACACACACACACACACACACACACACACACACACACTCTCACACGGAAACCCCAGACTCATGTCCCCACCCCATAGCCTCCACCCAGGGGGCACAGGAAGCCAGTGACCATCCTGGCCACTGAGGTGTGAGGGGTACCAGGGAGTGGTCAGGCCCTACACACACACACACACACACACACACACACACACACACACACACACTGGGAGGACCACACCGCCTGGGCGAGGAGTCCTGTCCACTGTCTCTGAATCAGAACATCGCCTTTCATGAGGATCCAAGCTTTAAGGAAAGAGGGAAACAAAAGCAATGGAGCTTTCAAATCATGAGGAGCTGGGAAGAATTTCCAGACCTCCTGTGCACCGCTCCACATTGCTCCTGAGCTCCAGCTTCTTCGCCAGACTTACTTCCACCTCAAGGCAGAGAACAAGGCTAAAGCCAGAGCTGGCATCTGGGATCAGCTGGCTATAGTGGTACATACAGGCTTTTCCCATGTACCTTTCATTTTTTTCTGTATTTATCTGTTTGCTGTTTTCATCATTTTTGTCTCAGGAGGAAAGGCTCGACAGAAGCAAAGCAGGAAGATCCCATCGTGAAACTGACAAAGTTTTAAGGAAGTCCAGGGACTCACTGTGAATCAAAGAGCAAAAGCGGGGAATTGGGGTCATTCCTAGATATTGGCAAACCTTGGAAAATCAATAAAAAGATGTAATGCAAAAAGTGAGTCCCATTTACAATTGCAGTAGTAAATTACTGAGTATATAATATCCTACAGTGAACCACAGTAAATTTGAGAACAGTCCTAACATTTTTGAAGGGAACAATAATTTACCTAATTGAAGATGTTTGTTTCTGATAGAAAGATAGAAGATTAAAAACATTAATTCTTCTCCAATGCATTGTAGAGAAATAGAGTCACACCTCTATTCTCTGATGTGACAGAGACTATGCCTCACAGGAATACTCCACCATGTCTCTCGCTACCTCCTCAGGTATCACCACACACACAGTGTCCTGTCATCTGCATCATTAACTGACCTGTTTAGCACCTTCAAGCGTAGAGTGTCTAGGTCCTCCCTAGGCTTCAGTCTTGTGGGTCTTGTTGCCTGCAGCTGAGTCATTTCTTAGACATGCAAGGGCCTCTCTGGTGTTGCAGGGGGTTAATCTCAGCACTAACAAGCTCTCCCCAACCACTGGGGCACAAGTTCAACCCCCAGGCCCCTGACCCATGTGGTGCAGCAGATGGTTCCTGTCTCACCTCCTCAGCAATGAGCTAAATTTTACCTCATTTTCTTTCTAGAAAGAAAAACACTGAAAATCATTATGTCCTGGTTCTTTTGACTTTGGTAGTTCTCTCATTTTTTGTCTAAAGCCAGTAAGAAGAAACCACGTAATTGTTTTGTCCCGATTTCTGTGACCTGACCGGCCGCAAGGAAGAAAGACGAGTGGCAGAGAGGCTGAGCAAGCAGAGCTTAACGCCCACGGACAGCAGCTGAGACAGAGCCCCTAGAGTGGGGTCCGCAGCTTCTGCCAGCCCTGTAGGAGAAAAGGGTCTCATGTAGATTCTAGGTTCAGATTCTAAAGGGGTGACTCATCACTGTGCCCCCTGATGCGAGGCTCAGTTCATTATCGCCTTTATCTAGTCCCACCTATCTCCCAGAGGCGAGGCCCAGTTAATTATCGCCCTTAATTATCGCCCTTAGATGCCAGGCCCAGTTAATTATCGCCCTTATCTAGTCCCACCGGTAGATGATGTGTTATTGCTATACCTGGTCACGCCCTACAGTAACATCATCATCAATATTTTGCATGAAAATTTTCTTAGCTATGTTCAAGTTCACTTTCTCCTTCTTATACATCAGTGGAAAGTGCTGTCAAGCTTTGTGTCTCTGTACATAAGAGTCCTCATCCCTCCAGTTCCTAATAAGAGTTTTCTCGCTTCTCTTTGGAAACTTGCTGGAACCAAATCAAAATAAAAATTATATTAATCCTGTGAGTGATATCAGCAAATGACAAAATAAGAAGCACCTGCTAAGCCATTCTTCGCCAGAGCTATCAATGAAATGATAAATGTCTCTGAGAAATCTACAACCCAGTTTTAAAATCCCCATACATCAGATGAGCACAAATCCCACACATTTACCACTAGCTCACTCCGCCCTCTTCATTCTCTCTGGTCAGCACCCCACTCCCACACTTTTCACCGGGTGCATTCAAGAGAAAACTACCAACTCCCATCTTCTTTCTGGGAAAGGGAACCAAAAGAGTGTGTATCCATCTGACTTTTAGAGGCATTGCAAGTGGGCCCAGCAGCTTTCTGACCTGTATCTAAGAATAAGTATAAGCAGGCCAGCCCCGAAGTCAGCAGTGCCGGGGTAGTCCACACCTCAGAGAGGTACTAAGTGGATTCCCATCCTGCAGTGACAACAGGTCTCAATATCACATGCAAACACCAGGGGGGAGCTACTGAGTTAAAAAAACAAACCCAGAAACAGCTTCATAGAGACTTCACACACAAGCCAGACCTGGCACACAGCAAGAAAAAGCTTATAGAAAGGATCTCCTTGATGAAATCACATCACAAAATCTGGGGGGGCTGGCCGATTCTTCAGATGCAGAAATCCCCCAAACAAAAATAAGATATGCCAAGAAATAGGCAATCATAATACATTTTTTAAGATTTATTTATTTATGCACACAGAACTGGAGTACAAGCCAGAGGTGCAGGGGCAGTGAGAGGATTCACCAGAGACAGAGTGGGGAGCAGAACAGGCGGATGGACGAGGTACACTGCTGAGGGGGCAGTGGAGAGATAGGAGAGGTCTGCCGCGCCGTGTGGGTCACCTCCCAGCCAGGAATGGAAGCTGCGCTGAAGTGGCTGCAGCTTTTGCAGTGCTGGGCTGTACCCCGCTGCACCACCAGAGAGGACTCCAGTCATGATACATTTTAATCAACCAGTTAAATCTCCAGAACTGATTTACTGAGGAATTAAAAATCATCATAAAGATGCTCATTGAATTTAAAGAAAACACAGATAGATAACTAAAATAAAAATCAGCAAAACAATATCAAGAAATAGATACTATGAAAAAATAGAAATTTGGGGACTGAAGAATAGAAAAACTGAATTTAAAAACTTACTGGAGGGACTCAGCAACAGATACACAGATGCATCCCATTGGCTGTTTCTCTTAAGAACTCTGAATAAGGCCCTCCCTGGTGGCACAGCAGGTTACAGCACAGCACTAAGAAGCTAAAGCCACTTCCGCATGAGTTCGATCCCCGCCTGCCCTGGAGGTGACCACATGGTGCGGCAGACCTCTCCTGACCCGCCCGCTGCTCCCCTCAGCAGTGTACTTCATCGGTTGGCCTGTTCTGCTCCCCACTCTGTCCCTGGTGAATCTTCTCACCGCCCATGCATCTCTGACCAATACCCCAGTTCTGTATGCACAAATAAATACATCTTTAAAAAAAAGAACTCTGAATGCACTTCCTTTATCTCTAGAGGGGTGCATTTCAAAGGGGTAGTTTTTTTTTAAGATTTATTTATTTATGCATACAGAGCTGGGGTACAGGCCAGAGGTGCAGGGGCAGTGAGAGGCTTCACCATAGACAGAGTGGGGAGCAGAACAGGTGAATGACCAAGTACACTGCTGAGGGGAACAAAGGGCGGGTCAAGAGAGGTCTGCCTCGCCATGTGGTCACCTCCCGGGCAAGGATTGAACTCATGCTGAAGTGGCCTTAGCTTCTTAGTGCTGTGCTGTAACCTGCTGGGCCATGGAGAGGCCCTCAAAGGGGCCTTTTAATGGTATGCGCATTTTTTTCAAAAAAAACATAAAATTTAATCAAAGATTTAGTGCTATTCAAGGCAACATTTCCTCCATAACAAATTCTGTATTTGCCCTGTATATAAATATACATATTTATATATTTTAATATCAATACATATATAAAAATAGGTGTGTTTATAACATCAAAATATGATTATTCATAGGCCTCTCCTTTACTGGTTAGACTATGAGAGCCAGAAAGACCTTTCCATATTGCTGGAGTGAGAACATGAAAGATCTCACAAACATTGTCTGACTGGATCAATAAGAGAGTAAAAATAAGCCTCGGTGTGCATTTGCCCCTGCCAGAGTCCTGACACTCTCCAGTAACTTACTTGCAAACCGAGTCCCTGGTCTGAACTCACCTGCAGGAAGAAGCCCCACTGGACCACCTGGAACCTCACTAGGTCATTTGAATTCAACTCAGGGCTGCTTTCACTGACTCTTTCAATCAAATTTCAGCATCAAATGAAACATTTACTTTCAGTCTTCCCACACAAAAAAATCATGAAACACTTCAATTTCCTTCTCGAAAATCTCGCTTTTGAGAACAAACCATGTTCCTTTAGTTGTTTAATCACAGAGAAGCGTGGGTCGAAGTCCAGCACTCGCTGGACAGTGCTGAGTCCAAGACATCACAAAGTACACTTTTAATAGCTTTTAGTCAACTTAGAACTACCTCAGCGAAATATTTCTCTGTGACTTTGGAGACAATAACCACACACCTCCTCCCGACGCACAGCTGAGGTGAGGGAGAGCCGTTGAAATTCTTAGATATAATTCCTTTGCCTCCCTTTAAGGATCCCCCTGCAGCCCTGATGGCCTTTCATAGCCTCCTGGATAAAACTGGAGGCCTGGGCAGATTCCAGATCCTTCAGATGGTTCTCCTTTGTTTCTCCAACTTCCTAGCGTACCCCCACATTCTCCTGGAAAATTTCACCGCCGCCGTCCCCGCCCACCGCTGCTGGGTCCCGCTCCTGGACAACGACACCGCGTCCTCCAATGGCACCGGGACCCTCAGCCAGGACGCCCTCCTCAGGGTCTCCATCCCCCTGGACTCCAGCCTGAGGCCCGACAAGTGCCGCCGCTTTGTCCACCCACAGTGGCAGCTGCTGCAGCTGAATTGGACCTTCCCCGACGGTGGCGCGGCGGCCACAGAGCCGTGCCTGGACGGCTGGGTGTACGACCGCAGCGCCTTCCCGTCCACCATCGTGACCGAGGTGAGCGGCCCCGCTGACCTCCTGTGCACAGCGGTCAGGGTGCGGATTTAGAGACGACGTGGGGGTGAGCGGGCTTCCGGCCAGCAGTCCCTATACTCCTTGCTCCTATCAGCGAATAGGAATTGCTTCTATAGATAATGCTTAGATAACAAGACTAAAGAATCAGGAAATAAGCATGAACCCCTCCATCATTTATTCTTACGAGGAGCCAGTTAAGCAAGTACTATACAGATGGACATTGATTTTTAGATAGTTTGATTAAACATGGTGAGCGTTGGGTAGAAACCCTGGTACATTCTCTTGGGATGCTGGGTGGCTCCTGGTCAGCATTTTCAATTTACGGATGTGTTTAATGTTTTATGGATTCATGAGGATGTAACCCCAAGTTAAAGAAAGGAAGATGTGAATAAAATCTCAAAATTCTTGTGCTAGGTTAAGTGTATTCAGCCTTTGGTTGAAATTTAAAACTTCTGGGGGTCTGATAAAATAAAATTTTAAAAACTCTAGCTTAGGCATTAACGCAGAGCTGTCATTGAGAAGCCTCATCAGTGTATTTCTTTCTTTAAAAAAAAAAAAAGAGGCCCTCTCTGGTGGCTCAAAGAAGCTTAAGCCATTTCCCCATGAGTTCGATCCCGGCCTGCACCGGAGGAGACCACATGGCGCGGCAGACCTCTCCTGACCCGCCCGCTGCTCCCCTCAGCAGTGTACTTCATCGATCTGCCTGTTCTGTACCCCACTCTGTCTCTGGTGAATCCTCTCACCCTCCGCATCTCTGGCCTGTACCCCAGTTCTGTACGAATAAATAAATAAATCTTTAAAAAATATATTTATTTATTTATGCACACAGAACTGGGGTACAGGCCAGAGGTGCAGGGGCAGTGAGAGGATTCACAGGAGACAGAGCGGGGAGCAGAATAGGCCGACTGTCAAAGTACAATGCTGAGGGGAGCAGCAGGCAGGCCAGGAGAGTTCTGCCGCGCCATGTGGTCACCTCAGGGGCAGGCAGGGAGCAAACTCATGCTAAAGTGGCTTTAGCTTCTCAGTGCTGTGCTTGATCCCTCTGCACCACCAGAGGGTTTATTTATGCATATAAGAGGCCAGAGGTCTGTGGGGGGGTGGGGAGGATGAGAGAATTCACCAGAGACAGAGTGGGGAGCAGAACAGGTGGATCTGCTGAGACACACTGCTGAGGGGAGCAGTGCGGAGACAGGAGAGGTCTGCTGTGCCCTGAGGGTCAGCTCTCTGGCCAGGGAACAAACTCTTGCTGCAGTGGTTGCAGAGAACTTCATAGTGCTGCGCTTTAACCCATTGTGGCACCAGGGAGGCCCCTCATCATTGCAGTTCTCACATGCTTTAAACAGCTACAATGTGTGGTCAGGGTCGACAGCCACCCAGTGCACAGTGAAAGTGGGCCTTTGGTCTAGGGAAGACTTCCTCGAGGAAGTTATGTTTTAGCTGAAGCTTGAGTGATTAAGGGTCAACTGATGTAGGAAAAGAAAGGTAAAAAGAGTGAAAAGAGACTGGAATGCTGAATTTTTGCAAGAGGGGTTAGATGATATTTTCACTGAGGAGTGACAAGCTGCCACAGAGCTTCCTGTGCTGGTTTCCTTCTCTTCCAGTGGGACCTGGTATGTGACTCTGAGTCACTGAACTCAGTGGCTAAGTTCCTGTTCATGGCTGGCATGGTGGTGGGAAGCCTCATCTGTGGGCACTTTTCAGACAGGTAAGTGTCCCTGTCATGGCCCTTGAAGAAGTCTTGTCAATTGATAAGTCATTTATTCACCAAGAACTATTCCTTGCAAGTTAAACTTTCCTGGAGTTGGCTTGGTCCCAGAGACAAAATAAAAGCTGAGAATTAATTGGTGTGGTGAGTGACATTTTGTTAACATGGACAATGTACATGACATAGAAATAAGTCTCCATCAGATCTGGAGGTGCTCCAGACAGGATCTCCAGAGGAGGCTCCATAACATGTGAGTTAGATACAGGACAGTTACTATAGGCCTAGAGAGATGTTTCGTAATGTGGGGGCCCACCTCTCTCACTGCGACGGTATTCACACCTGTGTGGGGCTTGGCTGAGAATCTCATTCACGCTCTGATTGCCTCCACAGAAACATTGAAAAAAAAAATTATAGTCTAACTTACCTTTGGCAGAGTTCTGAAAAATAGTCAAGGATTTACAAGAACCAAGCAATTGCCAATTGAAAATCATCCTAAAAATAGATTTTTACTAAATCTTGCCCCACCCCCTTCACACTCCACAACAAATTTGGTCTTGAAGTGACAACCTGGTTTTTATTGGCCTTTCTCAAACCAAAGGGCCAGAAAGATCTTATTTGAAAATGCTGTACACAGACATTCTAGCCTGCGTGGGAGGAAGAAGTGACCAAGGGCAGCATCTCTGGGTGACTGACAGATCCCAGGCAGGAAACTGGCACTGCCATCACTGATGTTATCTCAGGTTTCTCCTTTTACCCACCCATCACTGTGTTTTTGATATACATGCCAGTGTACTCTGGTTTATTTTCCTAGTTGTTGCCTAGTCCTCCGATTGGGAATGGACAACCAGATTATGTCCAGAGACCTGACCCCCCAAATATCATTACATTAAATAAGTATATGTGAGAGAATATACATGAGGTATCATCTTACCTATAACTGTTTTAATTTTGACTGATCAATCATTCCAGTCATTACCAGCCTGTCATTTTTCACCATTGAAGCTCTTTCTACAGGTTCTCTTGTGTGCAGAATTGAAACACAAATTCAAGAATAAAGTATGTGTTGTTATTAGTATGCAAATATAAAAGACTTAATAGTTGTACTATAAATAGGCTGTAAGAGAAGTGAAGATTACAGGGCAGTTGCCCAGATCCAATTTATATCAATTTGATGTTACTGGTCATAGGAAGTCAGCACTTTCGTCTCAGTTGTCTACAGGAAGGTCACCATTCCCAGAATCATGAAAATCCCTTTTTACTAAAGATTTCCCTTCTTACATGTCTTTATGCTCCATCCCACCCAAGTTTCCTCTCAGAATGTTCCCTCTGCCGGTGTCATGACTGTCTCGTATATTGTTCTAGATGGAATCACGTTGCTTGAGATTGACAAAGTTTGCAGAAAGGGTCTCATGCAACCCATGAGATGGATTTTTTCCAATGTTTCTGTCCCATCAGCCTGTCAAGCTCTGCGGTCCTGGAGTCCCAAACACAATTGACAGTCCTTGTGCTCCAGATGTTACACCAATGCTCCACTGTGCTAAACGCATGCATTAGTACAACCGAGATTGACGGCATTTTAGAGTTGCCATTATTTCGAGCTATTTGTGGTCTGAACTGCTAATCGACCTGCTAATGACAGATTAAAGAAGAAGCTTTATATACTCCATCGATCTGCACTCAGGCAAGGTTGCCTCAGACATCTGCTGCCATGATCCATTTATTCTTTTTTTTTTCAAAGATTTTATTTATTTATTCATACAGAACTGGGGTACAAGCCAGAGGTTCAGGGCGGTGAGAGGATTCACCAGAGACAGAGCAGGGAGCAGAATGGGCAGAAGGACAAAGTACACTGCTGAGGGAAACAGGGGCGGGTCAGGAGAGGTCTGCCACGCCATGTGGTCACCTCTGGGGCAGGGATCAGCTTGCAGTGCTGCATCCTAATCCACTGGGCCACCAGGGAGGGCCAATCCATTAATTCTTTATGAGTTCAAAATATGTTCACTTTTGCTAATTTCCACAACAACTGTGATGGTTCATTCCTTCGACCCTTTCTCAGGCTCGGCCGGAGGTTGGTGATCAAATGGTGCTTCTTCCAGCTCGCTGTCTCCGGCACCTGTGCAGCCTTTGCACCCAACTTCTTCATCTACTGCTCCCTGCGCTTCTTGGCTGGGTTTTCTACCACAAGTATCCTGACAAATTGTGCTACACTCAGTAAGTCCGCACTTTAGTATCTTCCACAACTTTCAAGCCTTGACTTTGAATTAGAAATCCGAAAGCCTGTCTGTGTTCTCTTTCAGTGGTAGAATGGGTGGTACCCAAATACCAAGCCATGAGTATGATGCTCTCAGTATCTGCTGCTAGCCTGGGGCAGATGACCCTGGGAGGCGTGGCGTTTGCATTTCGAGACTGGCTCACCCTCCAGCTAGTGATGTCTATGCCATTCTTTGTCTTACTTCTGTCGACAAGGTATGCATCTTTTTTCTGCCATAGTTTTATGGCGTCCATGCTGGGATGAGAAGGTACCTGGAACTCTGCCTGCTCTTGATCTATTCCTGAGCGTGTGCTTTCCAGGTATGTCCCCTCTGCAATTTAGGAAGCAGAATTGGTTGAATTTCCAGATAAATTGAGGGCACTCAATTAAATTTGAATTTAACTTCTTTGTAAAATTATATTCCAAGGGTCCTCCCTGGTGGTGCAGCGGGTTAAAGCACTGTACTAAGAAGCTTAAGCCCCTTCCACATGAGTTCGATCCCCGCCTGCCCAGGAGGTGATCCACATGGTGCAGCAGACCTCTCCTGGCCTTCCCGCTGCTCCCCTCAGCAGTGTACTTCGTCAATCTGCCTGTTCTGCTCCCCACTCTGTCTCTGGTGAATCCTCTCACCCTCCACATCTCTGGCCTGTATCCCAGTTCTGTATGAATAAATAAATAAATCTTTTAAAAAAATTATATTCCAAATATTTCAAGATAGAGAATTATATTGGTAAGTAGTCATGGTTGACCTATGATTTCTACTGAATGCTTGGAGTTTGTATTTATATTTGATAACTAGATTTAAAAAAAAATAAAAGGTGCTCCATTGTCAGAATTTCAGGTAAAGAGCAAATAATTGTTTAGTATAAATAGGTCTAGAATATTGCTTGGGCATAGTTATAATAAACATTATATACTATGTATGAAATTCAAATTTAATGGAACACACTAGTTAAAGATCAGCACCTAAAAGACAGGAATAACAACAAAGCTTACGCTCTGAATTTTCTGGGTCTTTCCCTCCCTGCTATTAAGGCTTAACCAGTGCTGTAGAAAGAGAACTGCTACAAAAATCATTTCCTTGTAGCAAAAAGCATTTGAAGATGAGATGCATTACAATCTGTGTATGTATATGGCTTTGCAAATAGTTATATGATGACAACATGGGTAATTTCCATTTTTATAGGTGGGTTTTTTTTAAAGATTTATTTATTTATGCATACAGAACTGGAGCACAGGCCAGAAGTGCAGGGGCAGTGAGAGACTTCACCAGAGACAGAGTGGGGAGCAGAACAGACAGATGGATGAAGGGAGCACAGGAGGGCCAGGAGAGGTCTGCCGTGCCATGAGGGTCACCTCCAAGGCCGGGGATTGAACTCACACTGCAGAGGCTGTGGCCAGCTTGCAATGCTGCGTCCTAACCCATTGAGCCAACAGGGAGGACCCTTTATAGGTGGTTTTAAAGAGACAGTGAGGAAGCACAGTATGACTTCTCCAATCTCTACCAAATCAAATGATTTATATCATTGATTCTATGCTCACTCTTCTGCCTATGTATAAAAGTCTCAAGAGTGCCTATTACACCCCTCCCCCAAGAATATTTGGTGGGAGAAGGCTGCTTTGAGTGTGCTTCAGAGAGATGAGCACAGATACAAAGCAGTGGCACCTGCCTCTAGGGGAGGGTGTTCTCTGTCAGGCCATATGCTGTGTCACTGTATCTTTATAACAACCCTCTGTAGCACAACTTCTTCATCACATAGAGAGATGAAGTGGATGTAGAGAACAACCAGCTTGGTAGGCAGATTCCATCCCAGATGCAAAAAGCAGGAGCAAATCCGGTCTGTACAAGGCTTCCCTGTTCATAATCATGTGAGGGGGTTTATTACACTAGTCTTGTCCCTCCAAGGGCCTTGGCACAGGCCTGTAAAAGTGAGAGCCCCTCATGCTCCACCTTCATGGTGAACCTGCATCTGAACAGGAGCGGAAGCCACATAACTGGGTTTGTGCTCCCAGCAGGGAGGGTGCCTTGCAGGGAGAGATTTTCCAGTTGTGATCCAAGAGGACATAAGGTCCCATGTCTTGGTATAGTCAAAAACAGTGGCAGGTATTGGGCTGGGGGAAGGCCTCACTGGGAAAAGGTTATATAAAAAATAAGTAAATAGTTTTAACTGCGTCTCCACCCTGGAGCAGATGGCTGATGGAGTCTGCGAGGTGGCTGATTATCACCAACAAACCTGACAGCAGCTTAAAGGAGCTTAGGAAAGTTGCACGAATGAATGGAGTAAAGAATGCGGATGATATACTAACCATGGAGGTGAGGAGCATGGGGCCCGGTCACATGGTGTGAGGACCTGAAAGGACATTTCTCCAGAGAAAACACACAAATAGCCAATAGGCGTATGAAATGGCACTCAGGGTCATGCATCATCAGGGAAATCAAGTCAAAACCACAGTGAGATATCCCCACACACAGGCTAGGGGGGCTGTGGTCACTCACAAGGAGCAACAAATGTTTGCAAGGGGACACTTAGAGCTGCTGGTGGAGATGAGCCCAGACACTATGGAAAGCAGTGTGATTGCGCCTGAAATAGAGTTGCCATTCTAGCCCTCCCGTGGCTGGCTACACCACCAAAGGAAAGGAAGCCAGTATCTCCAAGAGACACCTGCACACCCACCTTAACGGACCCACCCGCCACAATAGCTGAAATGTGGGAGTCAATGTCCTTCAATGGATGAACAGATAAATAAAATACTTACATTAATGTTATATTGGCATATTATTCCAACTTGACAAAACTAAGTCCTGCCATTTGCAATAGCAGGGCTCACCTGGAGGGCATGTGCTAACAGAAATAAGTCCAGAAATGCAAATACTGCACACTATTTTCATATGTAGAATCTTTAAAAAGATAAAAGTTGATGTCACAGAAAAAGAATAGTATGATGGTTACCAGGGGGGAGGGGGGAGGGAAAATGGGAGATATAGGTCCCAAAATGCAAACGCTCATTCACAGGAAGGCTAACTCCTAGGGGTGTGGTGAAACTCACTGTAACGGGGGTATATCACTGAGAGCACACCTTGAGCATGCTTAGCAGGCACCCCAGGTGTCTGCCCTGAAGTGTGGCAGTCACACAGAGCTTGCCACAGAAGGCTCTGTTCATTTTCTTGCTCTTGCTAATAGTTCACCATCACTCCCCTCCCACCCCACTTCCCCCCCCATATCTGGTTCCCCACCCTCTCCCCTAGACGCTGCTCTTCCTCTTCCCCTTCCCTTCCAAATCACTTCATGACTACTTGGTGACAGGACAGGGGCCAAAGTCCACCATTTCTCTTCAGGAAGGCAACACTCATGTCAGGGGGCTTGTGTGAGGAAAAGCAAAGAGTGGAATGTGCCCAGCAGCAAGAGAAAGGTCAGCAGCCCACACTGAGGGACACCGGTGCTGACCAGCCCTCAGCTGTGGTTCTGTCTGGAGTGGGTGTTGGAGCAGCCAACCTGGCCAGGCTTAAACGGGCCAGGGCATGACTAGCTTTGTACAGATTCTGCAAGGACCTCCGAGGGGGCAAGCCAGTGGTTTTGGTAAATGTTGAACACACAACTACCCAAGGGGGAAAAACTTAGAGCCCAAAATTGTGACCATTGCCAATTTTCGAGGTACCATCATGATGTCAACAGGTGTTCAAATTTTCTAAAGGCTTAATAAAGGGCTCCTGGAAGATGCCATGACAAAGGCCACCACCAGCATGAGAAACTGCAGTGGGCAGAGTGATGTGTTTGGCACAAATGTTTTTTTAGTGGGGCAAGATGGGAAATTTCTAGAGAAGATGCATTCAAAATATAAAAATCCAGCAAGTTCCCCTTTGAACATGGGTCTCCCCTTTCCCAACTAAGGGGGACCCCAGCAGGGGAGAGAAGTCCCTTGAGTGCTGTAGGTCTCTGGCATCCTTTTGTTGTTTTAAAGATTTTATTTATTTATGCACATAAGAACTGGGGTACAGGCCAGAAGTGTGGGGAGTAAGAGGATTCATCAGAGACAGATTGGGGAGCAGAACAAGCAGATGTACTGAAATATACTGCTGAAGGGAGCCATGAGTGGGCAGGTCAGGAGAGGCTGCTGGGCCATGTGAGTCAGCTCCCTGGCCAGGGACAAAACTTGTGCTGCAATGGCTGCGGATAGCTTCACAGTGCTGTGCTTTAAACCATGGTGTCACCAGGGAGGGCCTCATTCTTCCTTTGAATGACAAGAGAATGGCGTCCTGGAGACACCCTGTTCCATCCCTCAGGGCATATACCTGGCTGTGGCACTAGGTACAAGTATTCAATGCCAACAGATCCTCTGATTTTGTCTTCAGAGGTGATTCTGGGCATCTCGTTTATGAGGCACAACCTGCCAGGATTTCTCTGAAAGAGGCTGAATCAAGAACTGAAAATAATAAGAAATTAGCACTCAGAGCATTTCCCTGTTACTCTTCTTATTTTCTCTACCAAGAACTTCTAGTTGCCAGCCAATCTCTGTCGTCTGCCCTTTGCCCACCCCAGGATAGAAGCGAAGATCTGGACCATCATCCAAGAAACTCTCCATAGCTTTCCTCATGTAACTCTCCAACTGATGCGTGCCTCTGGTGTCCTGCCAGAAGCTGAGCCTCACGTCAGAATTCTTTGTCAACCAGTATTGTATACCCGTCAGTGCCCCCTTGTCTGTGTTTTCTAGTAGCCAAAGGGAAGCTGTCCCTCCTCCCCTCCCGTCCCTGCCATTTCGTGGCAGCTGACCTTTCTTGTTGCTGTTGAAGGTCTTGAGATCCGCCATGCAGGAGGAGCTGGAGGTGATGCAGAAACAGTTTTCTGTGCTTGACCTGTTCCGAACACCCAACATGCGGAAAAGGATCTGTTTCCTGTCTTTTGCAAGGTAGGTGTTGCAGCAGGTGTGGGGAGGGTCAAAACAATGAAGATGTGGGTCTCGTCCTTCCCTGGAGGTGCAGCATGCTGTGGGGACAGGTCTGAGATGGAACAGGCAAACTCGGGAAGATATTGCCATAGTGGAGCTGAAAAGACTGACATGGCTCTAACATCCTCTGGGAGTTTGCTGTCACAACATCCCAAGGCTCATCCCTGGAGGGGATGTGGACCTGCCAGGAGGTATAGACTCAGGCTTTTAGTTTCTTCATTTGTTTGTTTCCATCTTAATGGAGGACAAGTTACAAACAATCAAAGTGCTCAAATGCATACAACTCAGTGAGTATTTTCGTATGTAAGCATATAACCCAATTAAGTTACAGAAAAAAAAGTGAAAACCTTACAGGGCCCTGTGTTATATTTAAAGCAACAGACCACCCGCCACCAAAAAAAAAAAAACAAAAAAAACATTATAATGATGACCCTGTCATCATGCAATTATTTTATGGTAATTTTTTTAAGATTTATTTTATTTAGCTAGGCCTACAAGAACTAGGGTACAGATCAATGGTGCGGGGGGGCGGGGGGAGAGGATTCACCAGAGACAGAGTAGGGGGCAGAATAGGTGGATCTACTGAGATGCAATGCTGAGGGGAGCAGTGGGCGAGACAGGAGAGGTCTGCTGCCCAATGTGGGTCAGCTCCCTGGCCAGGCATCAATCTTAGGTTGCAGTGGCTGCTGATAGGTTCATATTGCTGAGGTTTAAACCCTGTGCCACCAGGGAGGCCCTATTCTATGGTAATTTTTAAATTATAACATTGCAAAAAAAAAATATTCCGCCAAACAGACCATGCCTTTCTACTTCATCCCCACCCTGGCTGCAGGGCAGTGTGCACAATCTAAACCCCATCACATATGTCTTTCATCTTCATTCATCATAGATTTGCTTGCTTCCTGCCTCTTCTTGGCCTGAGTCTCCACCTCCAGCAGGTGGGAAGCCACCTCTTCCTGGTCCAGCTTCTCTTTGGTGCAGTTGCCTTCCCAGCCAATCACATCGCACTTTTGATACTGAATTGCCTGGGCCGTAGGCTCGGCCAGGCCCTTTTCATGTTCCTGCAGGGAGTCTCCATTCTGGGCATCATCTTTGTGCCTCAAGGTGAGGAAAGAGCACAATATCTTCCCCTCATTCCTCATGAGGTGAACTGGCTAGACTTATCTGAAGCAAGAAGGAAGTGGACACTGTGTTCTAACCATCCCTCTAGCCTTGAAGTTGTTGGGAAAAGACCCAGTGGTCAGTTAAGGCTGGTGGCGGGACAGGAGGTAGACACTAAATTCGAAACTAGGGGCATTTGTCCTCACAGCAACTGATCACTTACTTTTGGCAAACCACACTTAATGCAGCAAGCATGGAGAGGCCCCCCTCATCCCGTGGCACGTGAGACACCACACTGTTCCCCTTGTCCTGGCTCTGTGTGACTGCAGCCTCCTGATTCTGTGGCTTGCACTAGGGTCAACCTAATGGGTAGTCTGCTTTAGGACTATTACCTTGACTTCAAGAAAACAAAAATTTCTTGTGGTCAGGAAGAGAGAAGCATGCAGTAAGAACAGGCACCAAGCCATTCAGAACCTCCCTTAGACTTAGTTTTACTAAATTAAATGATTACACGAAATGCAAAGGAGACCCCAGGGGTGTCTGTGCGGCCTCCAACTCCCTGGAAGTTGTGTTTCTGACATGACCCCCAGTTGGGGCTGTGCTCCTCAATGTGAGGATCAGCTGTGATGCAGGGCCGCTGCCTGGCACAGGGTCCTCCATCTTTGCAAGGCTCCCGCCAGTCTTTTTTCAATTCAGGAGGAACTCTGAAACTTTCCTTCAGTGGTTTCCAAAGTCAGACTTTTTTTTTCCCCCATGGTGAAGATCCTGATTTCGCTACCTTAATATTATTCTAAACCTAACTACTGTCCTCGTCCATTATACAGGACTCCTGTCTTTTAATTAATCTCTTCCATAATATTAATCCTGGGTAAACCCCGTGCTTGAGGAGACAGGTGAGTCTCCCATCGCTCAGCAGCCGCCCACATGGAGTCCTTCATCCCCTGTGGCAGGCAGAGGAGACACAGTATGGCATTAAGAGGACTCCCCCTGGGCTATCCTTTTCTAGAAAACCTCAGATATTCAGAAATAGCTGATAAGGAAACAGATCATTCATACTGGGTAGATAAGTTGCGTGGAGAGCATTTACCCAGCGCACGTTTTCAACCTCTCTGCAGTTCTCTACACTGTGTTTTATGCTGACAAACATCTCCACGAGGGTAATTTGGGGGATTTCTTCAGTTCAGATTTCCTGATACTGTATGATCTTCTCTCCAGAAATGCAGACCATCCGCGTGGTTCTGTCAGCCTTTGGAGTAGGCACTTCCTATGCCTTGATGACCGGCATTGTCACCCACAGCACCGAACTGCTCCCCACTATAATCAGGTACAAATCTCCCAGGTGCTCAGACAGAGCTTTTCCAGTGAATGAAAGGAAGAAAGCTAAGGGTGGCTAGTTACCAGAGTAATCCATCAAAATAACAATTTATAGGCAAAATGTATAGAAAGTCGACTTTCTGTCTAGGGTTTCATCCTTTGATGTGTACCTCCTGAATTTTCTGAAGAGTACAAAAGCTGGTGCAATGAGGAACAGGGATTTGTGTGTGATGAAATTGTGTCCTCAAGCACTTAAAGTTGAGAAAAAAGCTACCAAACAAGAGAAATGTCAAAAGCATAAGTATGTTGTCAACCTTCCACATTGCTGTGGTGTCTCCTACAATCGAAGCAAAACAGAAAATCACAAGTTACGTGTGTGGATTTTTACCAGGTTTTTAGTATTGCTATTTGTTCCTCAAGGGCAACAGCCACAGGCATCCTGGGAATTTGGGGTAGTGTTGGGGCGGCCCTGGCCCCCCTCGTGATGATCCTGGCAGTGTACTCCCCCCACGTGCCCTGGATCATCTACGGTGCCCTCCCGCTCCTCGCTGTCCCCGTTGTCCTGCTCCTTCCTGAGACCAAGAACCAGCCCCTGCCTGACTCCATCCAGGATGTGGAGAACCAGTGAGTACACCCTCTCCCCACTCCCCGCCTGCATTCCTTGGGGCTGTGTCACTGACCTGGAGGGAGGAAAGGGGAACTTGGGAACAGGCCACTGTCCCCCACAGGCCTGATCCTGAGCTGCCTCCCTGGGTCAGTGCCTCAGTTTTGGCAACCTCCTCTCACCCACAGTGACACCTCAGCCCCACCCCCGTTTCCTCAGGCAAATACACCCAATATATTACACACACTCACATATACACTCTCTCTCACGCGCACACACACACACAGGAAAATCCCAGACTCGTGTTCCCCATGCCCAGGGAGCACAGGAAGCCAGTTCCTGTGAATGACAACTGCTCTGGTCACTGAGGAGTGAGGGGGACCAGGGAGTGGTCAGACACCCCCCCCCCAACACACACACACACACACTGGGAGGACCACACAGCCAGGACGAGGAGTCGCTGTCTGTGAATCAGAACATCACCTTTCCACGGGGATCCAAGCTTTGAGGAAAGAGGAAACAGGAGCAAGAGCTTTCAAATCGCGAGGAGCTGGAAAGGGTTCCCAGACCTCCTGTGCACCCCTTGCCGCACCCAGGGTGAGAGTCCAAAATGCCAGAGCTGCCCGCCCCTGTCCCAGAGGTCAGCTGGCTCTAAAGAATAGAGGACATATGTGCTTGTTTGATGTCTTTCCATTTTTTGTGTGTAATTTGTTTGTTGGTTTCATTATGCTTTTATCAGGAGTGAAGCCTCAGGAAAAACAAAGCAGGAAGTTACCTCCATGAAACTGACACAGTTTTAAGGAATTCCAGACACTGCTAAAGAAACCACAATAATGCCTAGATACTAGGGATATTAGAAAAATAAATAAGAATATATAATGGACAAAATGAGTCTTTTCTTCAAGTGCTGTTCTAAATCATGAAATATAAAATGCCTGTGATTAATTATAATAAGAAATGGGAAGAAAATCATATATTAAAGGGATGTAGAATATTAGTATAATTGTAGACAGGTAGCTAGCAGGATTTTATAGAAAGGCTAGTATTACTAAAAATAACAGTCTTCCCCCAGTTATGTAGAATATTCAGTGTAGCAATCACAATGAAAAAGCACATAATTTTGGAAGAATTAGAAAAAAATAGTTACAGTTTACCTAGAAATGAATGACAGGTGAGGAACATGGTGTTCATGATGGGGAGAGCTGGCTGATGTGGGCTGACATAGCTAGACTTTATCTTGTAGCCATGAGAGTCAAAAGAATAACCACTGATCTCTTCTCTGGTCCCAACAACCCACCCCTCCATACACACTCTTCACTTAATTTCTTCACTTAAGATACCAGGGTGAACCCATATCCTGGTGCCTCCATTTACACTGTGGTCTTGGCATGATTGTTCCATGTTTCCTTTTCACTGTCAAAACTACCTCCACTTTTGATATGCAAACAATAAACTAGCAGAAAGAGAAAGGATGAAAACAATGTCATTAGAGATCCCAGCGAAAAGTCTAAAATATCCAGGAATAAATGTAACCTTTAAGGAAGTGGGAGCTGTACAGGTTTGTGTTTCTTTCAAGTTTTATTTTTTCAGATGTTTGATTTGTAAATGTCTTAACCCACTCTGTAGGTTTATCCCACCATCATCCCTTAATTTCATCCCTCCCCCCTCTTGACCTCAGATTTTCACATTGTTTATTAAGATCTACTAATTTGAATAATATTTTACTTTGTCAAGCCATCCACAATGTAAATTTCCAATATATGTCTGTCATTTTGACTTGCTTTATCGCATATAGTTCCCCTGAACTTCTTCCTTTTTGCTACAAATGGCATCATTCCACCCTTCCTGATGGCTGAGTAGTATTCCACTGGGTGGCTGTGCCCCATCTGATTGACCCAGCCCCTGCCAAGGAGTTTTGATAGCCTCAGTGTTGCAATAAATGCTGTAGCACATGTCGGTCTTTGAGTTGGTATCTACTTGAGAGAGATGCCCAAGCATGGGATTCCATTTTCAGATTTATAAGGTAAATCCAGACTGTCTTCTACAATGCTGGTACCATTTTCCTTCTCTCTAACAGTAGGGCCCCTCCTTGTCTTTTCTGCACTGTCTCTACCTTTGTTGTTGGGGGTCTTTTTTTTTTTAATAATATAATAGTTTATTTTTACATAATTTTGTAAATTTTTTTTTCATCTCAATTGTAATCCCCGTAGGCTTCCCACCGCCAAGTCACTTGTTGGGGGCCTTTTAATCTGGGCCACTCTCATAGTATGAGATGATGTCTTGTTGTGGTTCTGACCCATGTGTACAGGTTTCCAGTAACACATTAAGGAATTCTCCCCCACCCCACCCCGCCATCTGCAGAGTGGGAAGTTTGTTCTGGCTATCAAAACTCCTTAAATGTCCATTGGCAGGGGCTGGATCAATCAGATGGGACACAGCCACCCAGTGGAATACTACTCAGCCATCAGGAAGGGTGAAATGATGCCATTTGTAGCAAAAAGGAAGAAGTTCAGGGGAACTACATGCAATAAAGCAAGTCTGGAAGTATGTGATGGACAGCTTAGAAGCAGGAAGAGACAGCTGTCCAGGAGGTGGCCTCCACCCCACACACCACTGTAATAGCATCTCACTGCCCTCTTCCCATTCCCGACCACTGCTTGTGGGTTCAGGCAAAGGGGAGGGGAGCCAAGGCTTAGCATTGAAAATGTTTGTCAAGTGAACAAATGAACATAAGCCTTGATGTTCTCCTAAGAGGTCCCTGCTCCTGTGGGTTCAAACTGGAAAGGGCCAGATGAATGTCTGTCCCAAAGGTAAGCAGTAGATGCAGGAGTCCTTTGTGAGTCAGTGGCCATTCACTGCTGGTAATGGGGATCAGTGTTGTTCTGACTTTAAGGATCATGGCCTATGAGTTCATGTCAATGGGATCATTAATACAAAACAGCATTGGTTGAAAGCTAGGAGGGAAGCCTTAACCTAGATCATATAGTGACTAGGGAAACCGAAGGGAGACTCAACTGGTTACTGTGGGTGATGGGAGATGACTTGGGGAAACAAGGGGAGGTAAGGGCTTGCTCTAGTGAGGAGCATCCAGAACTCCCACGCAAGCAGACAGACCCCTCAGGAAGGGCGGATGGAAAACCGTCAAAGACTCCCAATTCCCATGTCCAGAAAACAAGTGAGGAATCAAGTTTGAATTACCCAGGAAGGGACGAGGAGAAGAAAATGAAGAGTTTCATTTGCAAATCTATTTTCTCCAAATAAAAGAGAGGCTCTTTGGAGACTCTAAGATCTTATGTGAGATGCTTGGGGGGTTCCATCCTGCCTGTTTCCACACTCTTCCTACCTTCCAAACAATGAAAGCCCTTGGGTGACTTCTGCTCTTCCTGGCACTAACCATCTGCAGCCACAACCTCAGACCTCCCTCCGTGACAACATTCTTCAAACACAAAAGCCACTTCTTCCTCACCCTCAGTGGCGAAGTTATATTGTTTTCAGTATTCACCTAAAATCGGTGAAGATAGAAAATTCAAACTTTCTGATATTTATAAAGTAGAAAAGCAAAATAGCTGGTCTTACCGATTATACTTTAACTTGGGGCCGTTTTTCAAATAAACTTGTTGCATAAATTTAAAAAAGAAAATAATATCTCTTGGGACAGGTGTTCCTAGGTGAAGGCACAGCTGGCCTGAACAGTTGAGGTTTCTGCCGCTGCCTCCTTCCTGAGTGGCTCTGTGGGTCTAAAAAGACCAGGGTGGGATGGAGAAAGAGAACGACAGGATAAAAAGGACTTCTGGGTAAAGTCCATTACTGGGAACAGTGATGCTGTCATTTGGAGTGTGGCTCAAGTGTCAGAGACTAGGGCGGCTTGTGCAACAAGCAAGGCCCTTCCCACAGAGAGAATAAAGTCAAACAAGCCTGTGAAATACCCAGCACCTAACAAATGCACAATAGATAGTAGATTCTTCCCACCCTGAGAATCCTCAAGTCTGTGATCACATATATTGGATGTATTTCCAGAAGGGTAATTGGATGCATTCTAGACTCTCCCAGAAGCTCATAATTTTCTTACATGGGGCCATTGAGAGGATAAGGCAAGGAGTGGGCAGGCGAGTTCTCTTTGCTGGGGTCAGCAACGTGGACTTCCGGGGCTTCAGGCAGTCAGGGCTTTGGGCCGGATTCTGTCCACCACCGCAGAAATCACGGCGCCTGCCGCCTTCGCGCCTTCCAGCAGGGCATGCTCCACCTGCAAGGTGGACAGGTCACAGGGTGCTCGGTGTCACCCTCGGCTTGCCGCACTCCTCCCCCTCCCTCTCCACTCCCCATCAGGAAATGGCCTCGAGTCTGTCCATGAGATGGAGCAGCCTGTGCCACCCCAGTTTCCAAAGGCAGAGAAGCCACAATGGCGGGAGGCTTCGGAGCCCTCTCTCAGAGCCCTTCAGCCAGGGTCTGCCTCGAGCGTGGGGCTCAGAGACAAAGGACCTCACATCCGGGCAATCCAAGAACCGCACGAGCACTCCAGTGGACAGCCAAGGCTGAGTGTCAGAGTCAGTGGGACTCCTGAGAAAAGCCTCCTTGGGCAGTTTGGTACTAGTGGGGACCCCATGGGTGGTAACGACCCATACCTAGCAGGCAGACCCTGGGACATACCCCCGCGGGGTGGTCCCCTTACCAAGACGCCACCCCCCCCTTGCATGTGCAGCTTGCTACCAGGGAAACGCCGTGGAGCCGCGTGAGGCTGTAAGCTGCAGCCTCGGCTCTTCTGGTGCGGGAGGAGGGGAACCCGGTGCTGGGGGAGCGGCGGGGCAGAGCAGGGTTCACCTGCTGACTGCGGGCCACGCCGTAGCGGAGGCCGTTGACAAAGTGCTCGCAGTTCCCCTCTATCAGGTTGTACTGCACCATCTTGTTGACCATGTTCTTCGTGCGCTGGATGATCTTGTCCACTGGCAGCGGCAGGTATGTCCCGTCCAGCTTGTTGTTGATCTTCCAGGAGCAGCCGTGCAGGACGTCCTCCAGGCGGCTGTACTTGACCACGGCACGGTTGCTGAAGACCGACGTGATGCTGCCCGCCAGGAACTCCTCACCTGGGGCCAGACGAAGGGGGTTGCGGAGAGGAAGGCGTCAGGGGGAGGCGTGAGGTGGGGGTCACCAGAGTGGGTGGAGGGCCTGGCAACTGGGTCAGCTTCTCTTGGAGTCCAGGTTTCATCCAAAGGCAGGACAGGGGATGGGATGTTGGAGTCACTGAAAGGGCCAACTTTCCCACAGCAAGGTCCTTCTGTTACAGGGTAGCCCAGCGTGAACTGGGCCGCCTGTCTGTGGGTCCACAAGACTCTGCAGAGTTGCTTTAGGACATCCTTCCCCATAACACTTCTTGCAACCTCTAGGAATGCCTTAGGATGTGGCTGGGCTTGGTTCTTCACTCTGCTGGCCCTGCCAAGTCCTGGGATTCGGGTCTTGCCTTCCTAACCGGCAACCTTCAGGAAGCTGACCCCTTAGGGGAAGCAGCAGCTCCTGGGGGAGAGGCCCTGCAGGGACTGCACACCCCACAAGCTGCAGGGGCACCTGCACAGGGGAGGCAAGCCCCCTAGGCTCCAGGGGGTGCCTACTCCCTCCCACCAGCTTCCACCAGGGCCCCTTGCCTTCCCTGCTCAAATACCAGGGTGTTCATCAAAGCACACGTGGGGGTTGTTTGAAAACAGCTTCACTGCTTTGAAACTAGAAACATTTGAGAGCTGCTGCATTCAGTCGGTAGAGGAGAAGAGTGGGGGAATGTCGGGAACCTGCCCAGGGCCAGCGCTGCGCTCCTGCCACCACCACAGAGCTGGCAAGTGGGAGCCCTCTCCCTTGGGACACTGTCGAGCAGACCTGTCCCTGGAGCTTCCGTGGGTGAAGAATAGCTGGCGAGTGTACAGACCCGGCAGACATTCGGCTGCCAGGACGGAGGCAACAGAATTCACTTTTAGAGAAAAATCTGATGGGCAGGAGGGACCCTAGCTTCTCTTTGGTGAGACAAGGGGCTGGAGATGACGCCCCTTGGGCGTCCTCAGAAACAGGAGGAAGGACACTGAGCTGTTGTCAATGCAGATGGACCTCTGCTCACGACATTTGTACTTAAGAGAAAGGGGCAGGGAATTGGGGCGGGAAAGGCCTGGGCCCTTCACTGCTGGGCAGCGGCATTCTAGCCTCTGCTGACTCCAGTCACTGCCGTGGCGACCAGAGTGGCAAACTCACTTGGGGGAGCCAGGTGAACCACACAGTCGTCCTCCACATAGATGGCCCAGTGCTCATAGCCAATTCGAAAAATCTCAATCAGGTCTCCGGGTTGAGGTCTCAGTTTGCTCTGAAACAGATTGAAAAACAGCAACAAGCTAAAGAAACTGGTATCCCAGGGACTCCAGACACCAGATTTGGGGATCAACCACAGCTTAGCCTCCATGTTTCATCCAGTTAGAGACCCAGGCTGGAGAAAGCTCCATTCACACCAGGGATCAAGAAGCCCACCAAGGTTACCCTCCTTCTCCTCTCACTCTCATTAGTGCAACCACCATGGCCAACTGGAAACAACCCCAGGGCCCATGAACAGGTGAATGGATGAACAGTGGAAGGTCCACGCAGCAGGGTACTGTCCGGTAGCTGAAAGGAATAGGCTGTAGCTAACATGTCACAGGTGCAGAACTCAAAAAAACTACATGGAACTAGGTAAAAGGACACGGACCTCAAAAAGCTAATGCAATGGGACTCCATATTATATAAACTTCTAGAAACTGCAAACTAGCGTGTGTTGACAAAATAGATGAGTGGTTATCTGGGGGTGGAATGCAAAAGGGAGAGATTGAAAAAAGAGCAAAGGAGGTTCTGCAAATGAAGACCTGTTCATTATCCTGATGATTTTGTGGGCGTGCACCTATGTCAAGGTGTCTCAGGTCAGATGTTCTAAATTTGTGCAGTTTATCACATGGCAATTATAGGGGTGTTACACTGAGGCAAGAAGTTTCCCAAGTGTGCTTAGATGCTGCTGCTTTCCCAGACCTGCTGCTTGGGGGAGTCTGCTGCTTTGATTTTGCTGCTTGTTGGAGTGGAGGAGTTGCTAGGTGTACTGCACCCCTGTGGCCACGCTACCTTGACCCCTTTCCTGAACAATCAAGAATGCTTCTGCTATGATAAATCAAATGACACGTTTCCTCAGACAATCGGTACAAAACTTCACTGTTGTAATTTGGGACTCAGCCTATTGGGGCTAATCCTACTGAGCCCACTGGTGTGACCATTAAATCTCTCTCCACATCTCTGAGTGCTGCCTGATTTCTCTGAAAAATCGCCACAGCAATACCTCAGCCAAGCTCAATAAATGGTTCCCAAAATTATCTTTTAAACACTAAAAAAGCATAAGCAACATCTAATCGGTTTGTATAGTTCAACCTGCCACATGGTCTACATAAAGTAAAACACATGAGTAGAGATGCCCCGGGGAGGCCAAAGATACGCAGTCTAAGGATTCTGGGGGAAAGAGAAAGAAAAATACCGATGGTCTCACTCATAGCAGGATTCTGGGGTACCCACCTCTGCTGCCTGCTTTACTGACTTGCGAGCACCCTCAGGCTTGGGTGTTGAATTGCACCCTCCCTTCTTCTCACTGGGTGTGGTCTCCAGGGTAGCAGCTAGCTTCTCCCTAAGTGAATTGTGTGATCAGATAGGACACAATTAACACTCTTGCACAATTGTTGGAAAATCCTATTACTCCAGATCGGGGATCTAGGATCCCTTTCAATTCTGAGATTCTAAGAAAACTTTCCCCCAAGCTTGTTTCTTGTGACACCATTAGCTGTCATATGAAATAACAGTTGAATGTTTTTGGGCAACAGTTTAAAATGTTCATGATAGCAATGGCTAGTTTTCCGGGCAATTTATTGGTTTTGTTAATAATCTTTTTTACATGTATCAAAGTGAGATTTGCACACAGCTTATTTTTATATGATGGTGACAGTACAAAATTATTTATAATGAAATGCAATCAGTCCTTTATCCTTCCCTTGCCACCCAGTCCTTCCCCAGCTCTACTGTTCCCGTTGGAGTCTCAAGCTGCCTCTTCCAATAATTAGCTCCATGTTTCTGTAAAATCGTGTTAAGCCACAATGACAAGACTGCTCATGACTGCAACCGATGGAGTGGACGGTCTATTCTGCCCGGTGAAGCAGAGTGTCACAGGCAAGACAGAAATATGTTTCTGGGGTTCAGAGCCAACAGGAATATGTCAGGGCCACACAGATGTGGGCTTGAGTCCTGGCTCTAACAGATTACTGTCCAGTCTTGAGCTAGTAAGTTCCCAGGGGTCTAAGCCTTAGTTTGGTGATCTGTAAGCTAGAGATGATAATATCTGGAGCACAGTTCTAAAGAGGGGTCAGCGAGAAAGCATAGGTACAATCTGGTACATTTCCAACTCAAAAATGACAGTTTTTTAAAGATTTGTTTATCTATGCATACAAGAACTGAGGTGTAGGGCAGAGGTGTGGGGAGTAAAAAGATTCATCAGAGACAGAGTGGAGAACAGAACAGGTGGATCTACTGAAATACACTGCTGAGGGAGCAGCGGGAGATCTGCTGTGCCATGTGGGTCACCCCCTAGCCCCGGGTCGAACAGATTCTGCAGTGGCTGGTGATGGCTTCATAGCGCTGTCTTTAACCTTTTGGGGGCACCAGGGAGGCCCTAAAAATGCCATTTTCTTTAGTGTTCCTAACACTTGAGCTCTTCTCCAAAAGTATCCTGTACAGGATCTTCATTTTCAGTATAGCTCTTCCGGGAACTTCTAGGCCCTCAGAATTTTAAAAGAGAAGGCTACACCTTGTTCTTAGTAAAAGTGATATTAAATTTGCAAGAAGTCGCATTACTCCTGAGGGCAATCCCTAGGCCATGGAGCACGGCCTGAAGCCACTCCCTTCTCTGGACCTGGGGCTACTAACCTCAGCCACACCGCCCCCCACCACTTACTAGCAGGCCCACACCTGCCTTCTGCAGACGGGTTGGTGGTGACCGGTTGGCACAGCAACACCTCAGCATTTGGAGTCTTACCCCTGCTGGGCGCTTCTGCCCTGTTCCTGGGAGCCCTGCAGCGGGCCCTGCCGCGGCGGCTGCGTGGGTGAGAACTGGACCAGCGTCTGCGAGGACTCCGATTCTGATTCTTCTAATTCAAGGAGGGGAAATGTTGTTGCAACCCAGTCGCCTGCCATGGAGGCTGAACCCCATGCAGGGCAAGCCTGAGCGAGCACCTCGACCCAGGTGGGTGAGCCCCAGCCCAGCTCCTGGGAAGCCTGCAGTGCATGCTGGGTAAGGAGCTGTGGCACTGTGTGGGGAGGGCTCAGCTCCTCTGAGACTCCGGAATTCCTGGGTGCAGAGTGGTGAGGGGATAGGAGTTGCCTCTCTCCCAGAGAAGAGAAACTGTGGGGCTGAGGCTGTCTGGCTGCCCTCAGAGCTGGAGCGAAAGCCTTCTCAGCTCCCTGTGTGGGAGGCTGCCTTGAGCCATTCCTTCTGAAGCCCCCTGGAGGGGGGATGCGGAGATTGCCACTGGGGCATGCCCCCCCCCACCCTGTACTCCTGACAAGGATCATTTCGCAAACGTGTGCTTATTTCCAACAATTACAGCTTACTCATCACACACCTATGACCAAGAACCTTGAAGGCAACTATGGCGACTTTCGGGGGATCTGGAGGGTGGGGTACCCTGGAGAACTAGTCACAAGGGAGGGCTCC